GTAACGGGACTGTATTGAAGTTTAGTATCAAGGATTTTGCCAATGTAACTGGCCTTAAATGCAAAGGAAATGTTAAGGATTTTTCATACCCGGAATCCACTCCGAGCCGGTTATTACAAAGATATTTCCCTAATGCAACTACAGGTATAACCAAGAGTCGCTTGATTCAACGTTTTCAAATGGGAAATTGGGAGACCACACAGGACGCCGTTCAGATGGCAATCTTATACTTTGTCCATACATTCATGTTATGTCAACTTGGTGAGACCTCGATACGGATCGAAGAATTTCTAATGGTCGAATATGATAGGTATGAATTGTATCCTTGGGGTCAGATTGCATTCGATAAGCTAATTACATCACTCAGGCAAGACTTCAACCTTAGCAAACAAATGTATCATTTATTTGGTATGCCTTATGCACTCAACGTATGGACTTACGAATGTTCATCTAGTCTAAATCCAGAGTTTGTTGTTAAAGTAGCGAATGGTATTCCCAGGATTTGTAATTGGAGGGTCGTGGCTGTAAAGCCAAAATTTGGAACGTTTATATCCAGCATTTTCTCCGAGGTAACATTCATTTTAAATTTGCAAATAACCGTTTTTCAATAAGCTTTCAATTTTTTGTTGTAAATAACAGTTTTTGTATGATACATACTATTGTCATAACATTTAACCTTTTTTTGTAATTCAGAATGCATGTTCAAACATTGTACCAATACCAGACGAAATGGAAGCCCTTGATTTATCTGATATTCAAGATGCTCATACTCCTGAACCCTCCACAATAGCAGTTGATGCAAAGGAAGTTCAAACAAAAGATAGTTCAGGTTTTGAGGATTTCTCAACAAGCCCTCCTGGGCATTTGTTTAGGATATCACCACGTGTGTCTGGTACATCATCTCCACCACCACCCAAAAGGAGAAAGAAAATTGATACACCTAAAACAAAGGTGTCGGAACCTAAAGTGTCAGAGCAATTAAGGCCGCCAATAAACCAGTCATTCTCAATGCCAGATGAAGCACCTACCTCGGCTGCTAATGTATCTTTTGTCCATGTCTCTTCACAAGTCCAAAAAGATAAGTCTGTATATCCCGATATTGAAGAACTGAAATAACATATGAAGGAATACGTAAGTAATGATATCAAATTTTTTTATGTTTATGTATAAATATATAACTGAATATTAATTATTTTTTGAATAGGTTGACAATTAATTTGAGTATCTTGTGACTTTAATAAAGGCAAATCACTCTGAGTTGAGGAATTCCAGGCATAGGGAGGACGACCAGCAACCAAAGGTACTGTGTTGTAAATGTGTTTTGTTTGTGTGTTTTAACTTTCATAGGTCATTATGTTCTAAATTTAATTGATGAAGGATTTGGCCGGAAAATCTACGCCGTGCATGGTTGAAGTTTCCGGTAAAGAAGGCAATGATTGACATCAAACAAGTACCTTTAAGTTTGATCAACAAACCAACCTCACCAATACAAATGGATTTTGCCAATAATGACCAAAACATTGGTGTATCTGATTTTGATGTTGAAGACCAGGTTTATGTTACTCTATTCATTGCGTATATCCAATTAAACATTGTATCAGTAACATATTTTGCTTGAAAAAAACTTGCTTTAAAAATACAGACATTAAAGAGTCATCAAGAAATGAAGGATGTTTCAGAACTTCAATCCTCAGATGCAAATATTCATCATACTGCAGAAATAACTGAGCATAAGAAGGTACTATTGTCATCGTAAATTGACTATTATTATACAATAACTTTGTATTGATACATCAAACTGTGTCATTATGATACATTGCAGTTTAATTTGTGTGTATATGATACATATATTTTATGTTTACATCAGTAGTGTTTTTCAATTTTTGTGTGTTTGATACTTTACATTTTTAATTTTGTGTGTATATGATACATTCCCTTGCAAGATACATACCAGTGTGACTAATTAAAATTGTTTGTATATGATACAATCATACATCAGGTGTTTTGATACATTAAAGATTATATGTAAATTGTAGTTTAATGTAATATGTCTTTGATACATTAACAGTCGTTTGTATATGATTCTTTGTTAATTAATGTATCATCACTTGTACAATATGCAGTTATTCAGGATGATGCATCAGGACAAATGTCTCAACATTTCTTTGAAGGAACAATGAACGAAGATGCTTCAGATAAAGTCCAACATAACACCAATCAATCTGTGCCAGATCCTGTTACATTTGATACATCGGTAATTTATGTTTCATGTATCATTTATATATCATCTGGTTTATCATACCTTATTTAATTATCAATTTAAATCATATAGGATTCTACGACATCTGGTACAATATCCTCTGAAACTCGAGAAGCCATGGATACACTTATTATTGATCTAGGAAGATTGTCTATTCCTGCAAACCAGTTAGTGCGGTAAATTCACAGGAGTTAACCGACAGCCATAATTTTCTTTCGGACAGTCAATTACCCATTGATATTCCAATCACAGAGATTGTTGTCCGAAGCGATACAAATACTCCTCTGGCACGTAACATGATGCCTTCAAAAATCTACAAATCTCCTTATTTGACTTCATTTGGGTCAAGTGAAAAGGTAAAAGAGGTCATGGAGGATGTAATTCGTTCGTATTTTCCATTTGAAGGCTGTGAGATTACAAACCAAGCCCCGTCCTATCTGATTGATGAGTATATTCAGTGGGTTACTAGAGGTTTTCTCAAGACTCATGCCAATAAGTAAGTTTTGTATTTTTTACTACATTTGTTCAATTTTGGAATAACAACTCTTGATTACAATTAATAATACAGGAAACCATCAGAGGATATGTACAGAGCAAGAGCCTCTTCATTGGGTTTTGAAATGATGGATTATGTTGTTGCATTTCTGATCGATAAAAAATGGTTCCATGCCATGTCCCAGCCCAAAAAATGCTGGACTGATCAGGTAAAGTTGCCATGTATATGTAAATTTAATGTATCTGATACATTAAATGGAATGTATCATATACAGTTATTTTAATGTATATGATACATTTATTTTATATGTGTTAGATACATATCAATACCATATACCACTATCAGTCTCTAACATTTTATTTTCATTATTTTTCTTTTCAAACGTATAATTATGTTTATAATGTTTTGTGTAGCACATTGATGTTGTTTTTTACTACCTTCGTAAAAAATCAAAACTTCGCAGCATGAATCAATATAGATACACAACAGTCAATTGTTTGTTGAGTTCACATATCAACAATACACATGAAAGGTACTATAACAATGAAGTTGATGATAATATTAGTACCCAAGAACACATTGACCGTGCGTCGACTGTATCTGTACATGAGAGGTCAATAACCAACATCATGAAAGGGTTTTAAATACCAGCTGGATTACCATGGCATTTTGTGGACGATGTTTACATTCCGGTTAACTGTGATGGAAATTTTCATTGGGTGTTAGCTGTTGTTGAATTGAATCAGAGGTTGATACACGTGTATGACTCTTCTATAGGCACAAGGGAAAAAAAATATTCTGAGGAGATAAAAAAATTATCAAGGATGCTACCTTCTTACCTCCTTGACAATGGTTTCTTTGAAAAATTTGAGCGAACAAACTAGCCAGAACTTGATGCATATAAGAACAAACAAACTGGTACACTTTTAGAGCCACATCATCCTTTCAATGTTGAATATGCTCAAGGCATCATGCAACAAGAATGCGATAGTCTGTAAGTATTTAAATTCTTGACTATAATCATATGTGTAAGTTTTTTTTATAAATTTATATTCTGCATTTTATTGTAGGGATTGCGGGTTATATGTAGCTACATTTGCAGAGTTTTTAAGTGACCAACTTGTTATACCATCTGATACTGATGGCTATCTTTCAAGTTATCTACGCAATAGATATGCAGCATTGTTGTGGAGATACGACAGTGACAAGGTCAAGGGTGGATACATAAGTGAGAATGACGATCCACCAAAGCCTAAGGGTCAATTCACAACACCAACTGAAGAAGATTTCGTTAACATAGATTAGTACTTAACCATGTTTGCATGAACAATGTTTTATGTTGTTTTGTTTTCAAGACAAATTCACTTACGTTTTGGAGTGTTTCTCTAAAAACTTAGTCATATTACAGTCTTTTGTTATTTATTAAAAAATTGTGTTTTCAATATATTGCTTTAGATACATTATACGTTGTTGCTTTATAACATTAAGCTTCACACTCATAACTGTTTGAGTTTATGTAATTTGATAGTTTAGATACGAAATGATGTATATGATACATAAGTTTTAATGTATATGGTACATGAATTTTAATTCACATATACCAATTACATACATGTATATCACACATGAATTATATAAATGTATATGATACATCATATACATCAACAAACAAATCACAACAAACTATTAAATTGAACGGCAACACCGCTAAGGAAAAATATATCAAAATTATAATTGTACCCAATTAGTTTTAAGAGTTTTAATGTGTATGATTCATTACCAGTTTTCAGTGTATATGATACAACATATTGTAGTGTATATGATACATATATTATACATTTGAAAAAGTCAAGTTTGGGACACTTAATTATGTTTAAATCATGAATCTGGTATTGAATCAATATTTCATGCATTTACACATTAATTATTTTTCACAGTTTATACATTTAGAATTATTTATTTATTTAACAATATAAGAATAATTTTATATTTAATATAAGATTGGCACACAATTCTCAACAAATTATTTAGTTGAATAACAACATAAATTGTGTAAACAATACACTTTATTTAATCCAAAAACTAAAATGAAAAATATATACAAGTGCAATTTATTAAGCATGAACACGAATGTCCTATTTAAAAATGTTACTTCACTTCTCTTTCGGGAAGAAAGTACAAGTTCTCCTGTTGTGACCTTCTTGTCCACATTGCCCACAAGAATTCTTGTTCACTGTTATCTTCTCATCCGCATTTTTTTTTTCGTTTCCTTGGTCGTCCAACCAACCTTCTATACCTAGGTGGCAAGACAATTTCATCTAAAACATAGTCTGGAACTGTCCAATCCTCCTTATCTGGCATTGGAACCATTGCAACCTCGTAGGTTTTTGCTAAAGCATCAGGCTTGTAGTAATCAAAGCAATATGGATGCATATTTGTAACATTCTTGTGCTTTAAAACTGCAATTGCATGTGCGCAAGGTATCTCATCTTCTTGAAATCTTCCACACGTACATATTTTCCGCTCAAGGCATACAACGTATCTTCTTCCGGGTTCATAAACTGAGAAAATATATTCAGACGATGGAACAACCTGAAAACACTAAGAAGTTAGTGATACATTACATGATATGTCATTTTTATATCATTTCCAAAGCAATGCTTATCAGTGAAATGATCCGAGTTTCTGATACATAAAACAGAAAGTTATGGATATTGATAAATATCTTCATCTTTGAACTTTTAGATGCGTTTACAATCAATACCTCCTCAAATCTTCTGCCCAATGTGTCCTTTGTATATGACGCTATTTCTCTATTTTTACAGTTCCAACTACCAAATAGAAGTCTAGCTTCTTCCAAGAATTCTAATATAGTTAACCGACGTGCATCAACAAGGCAACCATTGATACACTCTGCGATGTTCGAAGTCATCATTCTACCTCTGTTTACTATTGAATGAACTCTTGACCACTTCTCATACCCAGCATCCTCAAGGTAATCCTTCACCCTATGATCAACTGCCACCATCTTAGCCATTAATTTATCAAAATCCTCCTTTCTGTATGTCTTTGCCATTGAGTAAAATATATCACTTAGTGTGTTTTTACTCCTTTAGAAGTTTGAACAGACATTCTTCCAAATATGCCATATGCATGCACAATGAGGTACATTTGGGAACACAATGCTTACACTCTTCATAATACTTTCATTTCTATCTGATACAATACACATGTTTTCACCCTCGTCAAATGCATTTTTGAATTGTTCGAAGAACCATGTCCACGAACAGTCATTTTCAGTGTCTACAACACCATATGCCAACGACAATATGCAACCTAATTACAAAGCAGCACACTAACGTTTACACTAAGATACATTAATTATACATATAAAACAAGTTCAAAATTTCATTAGTATTACAGCAGTCATACCTGCACCATCGAGTGTGCTCGCTGATACAAAAGTACCTTTGTAAGCCCCGCCAAGATGTGCACCGTTCACTACAACTACAGATCTGCAGTAGTCGAACCCTCTTATCAATGGCCTCAGGGCTATGAAAAGATACATGAATTGATTATTTTCCGTCTTTTGCATCCTTATATATGAATTTGGATACACTTTATTTAGCATCCATATGTATCTCGGCATCTGCTTATATCCATCTGATGGTTTACCCTTTAGCATTCCTAGTGCACGTTCCTTAGCACGCCATGCTTGCTAGTATGATATTTCAACCCCATATAATTCTCGAATATCTTCAATTACATCTTTCGGCGTATGAATTCGTTTATGATTTACCAACTTATGGGCAGTCACATCACTAATAAATCCAATTGTTGCTTGTACTTTTGTTAGTATCATATCCCGCATCGGACGCGTATGTTCACTATTGAAGTATCTCACTTTGAATACATCAGATTTCTTTCTGCAAGAAGACTTTAAACTCCTGCCACATTCATCACTTTAGCACACTAACACATAGTTGTCCAAATTTTTTCATCAGATTAAGTCATATAACAAAAGCATTTCAAATATATAATGTACAGTGTTTCACAACTTGTCACATAATTATCCACATTAATGTATCGTCCATAATAAAGAACACAACAATTTTTTTACAATATTTTTATGTATCAGATACTAAAGTTTATCACGACACACCTAAATCAATTGTCAATACTAATAATCATAATCCTTACCAATTTGTTCAAATCATCAAACACCAACAAACTTATCATTATGATACATATACTAATTATACTTATGTATCACACACGGTAGCAATTAGAATTGTACTAATTATATGCTTAAACTGAAGAAAAACAAATCAAATTAGAGATAAAACACTCTAATACCTTTTTTTATCCGATCTTTTCACTCTGAAATTGAAGTTGTTCTTTATTTTATATTTCGCCATTACATCGATGAGTGTTCCTTTATCCTTATACAACTTGCCCGTCTTCACATCAGTACTATTGGAATCAGTTATGTAATTTGTAGGATTTAATTCTGGAATATAATCTAAATCACAAATTCTTGATTCTACCAGAGCAAGAGCTTCCGTATATCTTTCTGTACGTTCCATGCATATGATTTCCCCGGATGAACAATCAAAGTTATGTATCTCCCCAACCATTTTCTCAATACATGCCGATTCCAGGCTCATTCCTTTTTTACTTACAAATATAGTTTCACACCCATGTCGTTCTTTGATTTTCAATGGACACGAGTTTCCAGGTACGATGTATCGAATTTCAATATCTTTTCTAACACCGTTAAAATCAACGCTTTCAGATTCATAAATGTAATTGATTGTCCAACGACAATTCCATCAACTTTGTAACCTTCGTAATTAACATCGCTTACCCAAATTCCAGAATGCCGTAACAAAATCGATATATTCATCTTCTAAAGCTGCTTTTTTCAAGTTCTTAGAATATAGATCAAGTTTATCACGATAAATGTTGATAGATGAAGGAGCTCTAATTTAAAATTTGAATTTATCAATCAGTTACGTAATGAAATTGAAGGTTTACAATCTGTTATGTGTGAATTATGGGATTTATATTTATTAAAATCAAATTTACGTTATTCTTTCCTTCTTAAACGCAATAACTATTAAATAGAATGTATCATAACTAATGTATCCCGTAAAAACACTATGTATCCCGCAAACAACATTTTTAAGGGATTTATTGTATAAAAAAAAACTAGAAAGGATAGGATTTTATTTAGTAGTTATAATATGTCATTCCTATAATTTATACAAAGATTATTTTTCTCTTTGAATTATGTGGGCCCAATCATTGGCTCACTTTACAATGTCGGCTCTTTATTCATTTTTTTCATTTAAACATTTGTATATATAGTATTTTCATTACTATTTAGTATTTTCTTTGTATTAAATTTATTTCTCTTATTCTTTTTATTGGTTATAGATTTAAGAATAATATAAATAGTACTATAAATCACAATAATTAACAACATAAATATTTAAAAGTTATATAAAAAAATTTGATTGACTCTTGACATTCTATTAGTACCACATAAAATTGGTTAGATGATAAATATATATTATTTGAAATTGATGTAAAAAGTATTATAGATCACAATAATTAATAATTTAAAAAAAATTAAAATACATAAAAAAAATCACTTGACTCCAAAAAATCTATCAATGTCACATAACTTTGGACATGAAAAGTAACATATATTATTTGAAAATTACGTTAATAAGGTATTATAAATTATAAATAATTAATAATTTAATATATTTAAAAGACAAAAAAAAGTTCATTTTTGAAATCCTATATATATGCCACATAAATCAAAACAAAGAGAATAATATATTATTATTTAAAATTACGTAAAAAAATACAAGTACTATAAATTACAATAATTAACAACTTAAAATAGGCCTTAAAATATTTTTAAAATCATATAAATTTTTTGATAAATTCTCAAGTTTCATGATATCATATAAATTGAGATAAAAAAATTAGTAATATATATTGGGCCCGTGCTGGCACGGGGTCCTGCGTCTAGTAGTAATACATGAGACAAAATGGGTCAAGCAATTAAAAATTTAAATATTAAATTAATTTATTATGACGGTTATTGTGGACATATGGAAGTGCCCTTTTATCTTATTTAATTTCTTTTTTTATAAATTTGATTTTTTTAAAAATATTCAATCTTTAATAGACTAAATGTTTTTTTTTTAAAATAATCAATTTTTACAAATTTATAAATTGGATCTTTTAAAAATATTAAATCTGTTTTTAAAAATGCTGACTTTGTCATTATTTGTGTGATTTGATGACATATGTCTATTTTTATTTCAAATTTTGAATTTATAATATTTAATTATTTATAATTTAAATTTCTAAAATTTTGTGGCGCTGACATGTGGCATTTTTCTTCTCCTGTTATATATAGATAAATTTTATGAGTTTTAAGTTTTATAAATTATCAATGTTTCTTATATTTATGAGTTAAAATCAAACTGATGTATTGTTAGAGACTGACTTTTGGTCCTCTTATATGTCATGCCTTTACCATTAGCTTTGAGTCCTTGCTTAGCTTGAAGTTGTTTGAAACTTTAATTTTTGATACCTTAAATTTGCTGAAGTTGGTAAAAAAAAAAGTGGATAAATGAAAAGAATATGAATTCATATATAATGTTTTGGTGATATATGTTTATAAATGTTTTCCTAATTATATAATTATAAGTGGATGAATGAAAGTACTCTAACCGAAGAAATCGGTAATCAAAACAACAAAGTGTAATACGCATCAAGAACATTACTAAGAGCATCATGAAATATATAGGGAAAATGCATAAGTACCTCCCCCCCCCATCCCAGAGACACACTTATACTATACTAAGGTCCTATTACCCCCCGAACTTATTTTATAAATAATTTTCTACCCCTTTTCGGCCTACGTGGCACTATCAATAAAAAAATTGTCAACATGCGCTGGGCCCAGAAGATAGTGCCACGTAGGCCGAAAAG